TTAAAAAAAAAAAAAAAGAATGTTCTAGAAATGGATAGTGGTGATGATTGTCTAACATGGTACATGTACTTCATGCTGCTGAATTATATACATCTGCAATAGTTAGAACGGTAAATTTTATGTAATGTATATTCAACCACATTTAAAAAGTAGAACAAAAAACGTGGTATACAAACACTAATCAAAAGAAAATTTAAGTCATTGAATTAGCTTCCAAGTCCTGCTGTCACAAATGACCACAAACTTGGTGTCTTAAAACACATAAATTTATTATCTTACAATTCTGGATGTCAGAAGTACAAATACAATCTCATGGGTGTAAAGTCAAGGAATAGGAGACATTCACTTGCTTCATCTTCATTCAGAACCAGAATTCTGAATGCAATTGACTTCTAAATATTGACCATGTATCCCATAAATTTGGAAAACTCCTTTTTATTTGGGGTAATACATATTTATACTATTTTTTTATTTTCTATGCACACAACTGTGTAATCTCAGAGCAATACAAGTATTATTCTTATCCTTTTCCATGCTTATTGTTTTGTTTTGCTTCTTTTAATTGGTTGGTACTTCCAATTAAATGAACTGAATGCTGCGCTGAATACAAGCAGTCATAAGAAACATACTTGGATCATCCCCATCACAGAGAAAAGGACTTCAAGTTCTCACCTTCAAAGATGATGTCCAGGTGCTGATTGATAACCATGCTTTCATAAATTGTAAGAAACACCTTTTCATTTTGGACGAGTTTTTGTTTTCATTATGAATTGTTGGTGTGTTTTTATCAAAAGCTTTGTGTGCATCTGTTGAGATTATTTCTTAATTTTTAAATTTTTTAAAAAAATTTTATTATTATGTTCAATTAGCCAACATACAGCACATCATTTTTAAATTTTTAATTAAATTATAGTTAACATATGATATGAGTTTCAGGTGTCCAACATAGTGAGTTAACAATTATATACATTATGCAATGCTCACTATAAGAAATGCAATTATCACGTCACACAAAAAATTATTACAATATTACTGATTATATTCCCTAAACTGTATTTTTCATCCCCAGGGCTTGTTTATTATGTAACTGGAAGTTTGTAACTCTTAATCCCCTTCACCTGTTTCAACCATCTTCCCATCCCCCTCTCCTCTGGTTTGTGAGATGGTTATTTTTACAAATTCTGTTAATGTATCAGATTACATTGACTGAGTTTTAAAATTTTAAGCTACTCTGTTCCTCCCCTCCCCCCCAAAATCCAGTGTGGTCATGATGTGGAGTCTTTTTTAACTATTGCTGAATCTCATTTGTGAACATTCTGTTTAGAGATTTACATCGAAATTTATGTGAGACGTCTTTATGTGCCTTTTTCATTCTGTAATGACCTTGCCAGGTTTTGGTGTCAATAGTTTCCTGGCCTAATCCAATATTGCTCCTTCCCTTTTTATTCTCAGGAAAGGTTTGTGTGATTTTGGTGTGTGTATATGCTTGTGTGTGTTTCCTAAGGGCATAAGTGTTTGGAGGAAATTCCCAATGAAGCCTCCTCAACAGACACATTTCTATATTACAGAATGATTATACCCATGGCCTTAGCTCACACTTCCATCCCATAACATAGTTGCCTTTCTTGCATGTGTTGAGAACATTTAGATCTACTCTCTTTGCAACATTCAAGAATATGATACAATGTGATGAGCTGTGTCATCATGCTGTACATCAGATCCCCAGAACTCGTGGTCTTATAACTATAGAAGTTGTTTATCTTCTAGCTATAATCTTGACCAACACCTCCCCATTTCCACACCCCAGCCCTGGAAGCCACACAGTCTGCTCTCCGTTTCTCTCAGTTTCCACATACTTCATTTGGGGGGTGGGTTTTTTTAAAATTTGATTATCCAACATATAGTACATCACTAGTTTCTGCTGTAGTGTTCAATGATTCATTAGTTACAATAACACCCAGTGCTCATCACATCACTTGCCCTCCTTAATGCCCATCACACAGTTACCCCATCTCCCCACCCCCTCCCTTCTGTAACCCTCAGTTTGTTTCCCGGTATCCAGAGTCTCTCATGGTTTTTCTCCCTCTCTGATTTCTTCCCATTCGGTTTTCCCTCCCTTCCCTTCTGGTCCTCTGTGCTATTGCTTACGTTCCATATATGAGTGAAACCATACGATAATTGTCTTTCCCTGCTTGACTTATTTCACTTAGCATCATCCCCTCCAGTCCCATCCATGTTGATGTAAAAGTTGGGTATTCATTCTTTCTGATGGCTGAGTAATATTCCATTGTATATATGGACCACATCTTCTTTATCCATTCGTCTGTTGAAGGGCATCTCAGCTCTTTTCACAGTTTGGCTATTGTGGACATTGCTATGAACATTGGGGTGCATGTGCCCCTTCTTTTAACTACATCTGTGTCTTTGGGGTAAATACCCAGTAGTGCAATTGCTGGCTCATAGGTTTTTGATCACAGAGTCAATGCATTTAATGTATACATAGGGTGATACATATTTTCTACTTCATCATTTTGTAACTTGTATTTTTGAGGATTTTGTCAGTTACTTATGTATCTGCTTAAAATGATTCATAATGTTCTATTATTGATTTAAATTGTGTAGGATGTGATGCTGTCCTGATAATGGTGATGTGTACCTTCTCTCTCTCTCACCTGGCTATTGTGGCTAGGATTTATAACCGTTGTTTACAAAAATGAACACTTTGGCTTTATTGATTTTTCTCTATTTTTTGTTTGTCCTCACTAGTAGCTATTCTTGTCATTATTATTTTCCTCCTTCTACCTTCATTTGGAATAATTTGCTATTCTTTTTCTTTCTTTCTTCCTTTTTTAAAAAGATTTTATTCATTTATTTGACAGAGAGCGAGCGAGAGAGCGAGAGAGGGAACACAAGTAGGGAGAGTGGGAGAGGGAGATGCAGGCTTCCTGCTGAGCAGGGAGCCCAATGTGGGGCTCGATCCCAGGACCCTGGGATCATGACCTGCGCTGCTTAATGACTGAGCCACCCAGGCACCCCTACTATTCTTTTTCTATAGTCTCGATATAATAGGTTATATCATTAATTATTTTAGGCTGTTTTCTGTTCTAATATATTAGTTCTTGGTTCTTAATTTTCCCATTTCATAGATTTGATGTATAACATTTATATCACCCTTGTATATGTATCTGATGTATATATGTATAAACATTTTCTCATTTTCATTTTGGTTTTCTCATTTCATTCCTGAATTATTGAGAAGTCCGTTGCTTTGATTTCCAAAGTGTAGGGATATTACTATCTTTGATGACAGAATCAAGTGACTCCCAGAGGGCCCCGGGAGTTCCTACTGGTCTGCGTGAGGAGTCCAGGTTGGCTGGGGTCATTAGGTGGCACCCACTGTGGGCAGCTCCTGTGCCTTCCAGGGTCTTTGCGGTCCCCTTCCCTGGAGTGTGGGGTCTGGGTCCTTCCTGGGCTAGTGGATGGCCAGAGCAGCATACACACTGGGCTCTGCTGGGAGCTCCCCTGATTGGGAGGGAGGGGATGCACTTGTCTCTCGTCGGAGGGTCAAGCGGTTCAGCTGGGCGTAGGTCACATCCTGGGGGGCGCCAGATGCAGCAGTCTCCTGTGGGGGAGAGAAAGAGGGGAGGTGCATGGTTGGGGTGGGGGGAGCCTGGGGACTCAGAGAAGAAGGGACCCACCTGACAGTCTGTCTGCCTGTCTTCCTCTGCTTGTCTGTCCTCCGAGTCCAGCAATCCCCCCGACACAGGGGAAGGAGAAGGGGCCAGTCCTTGCCTGAGTCTTGATCTTGAGTGGCTCACCTGGGCATATGTCAGTCCCTGGGGGTCTTCATCCTGTGTGTTCTGCTGCAGACAGACAGTGAGGGGGAGGTTTGTCTCCTTGATTCCAATCGACCGCCTCAGACCCTTTTCCACACTGTTGTCAGAGTGATGCTTTCAAACTTTCAGGCAGATTAGGTCACTTTCCTGGTGGACTCTCCAGGGGCTTCCTGAGCCTTGGGACATGCAATGCTTTCTATGGCTCTGATTCTATTCCTGACACTGTTTCTTGCTCATTTGGTTCCAGCCACATAGCCTCTGTTCCTTCAAAACATGTTGCTGCCTCAGGACCTTTGCACCTGCTACCCCCTTCTCTTGTTTTATTTTCCTTGGCCACACTTTGCACTCGAGGGTGCTGCCCACTTCCTTGCATATTGTCTGTCACCCACAAGGTGAGCTCATGGAGGGTGGGTCAGATTTGCCCACTGCTGTGCTTGCAGCACTAGCTGGGGCCTGGTAAATGGTGGGCTTCCTGTGCCCATTTACTGGGTGAATGAATGAAGGGGGCCTAAGACCTGTGGGTGATTCATTTCTTCATGCACCGTCTTGAGATCTGGGCATGCACCTCAACAACCAGAAGTCAGACAGCGGTCAGGGAGCCAGACAAGGGGAGCACGGAGGAGGCCCCATGCGGTCACAGCAGGCTGACCCAGAATGCCCAAGGAGGGAGAGGGCATCTGAGGGACACTGCTGAGACTGGGTGGTGTGAGGACAGAGAAGTGTCCATTGGATTAAGTTTGGCACCACGAGGGCCCTGGGGTCTGCACGAGAGTGGGGGTCTCACCCGATGGTCCAGCTCCACCCCCTCCTCAGGCTGAGTGTCTTGCACGGCAGCATCTGCTGGGGAGAATGGGGGGTAACTCTTGGCAAGGTCCCCTGAGCTTCTCAGACAGGGCAGATGTGATCCAGGAGATTCAGCAGTGGGGTGAGGTGCCAAGGTCATGCATGTGGGAATTCGGTCCTCACCCCTTACCCCCAGACCCTCCCAGCCCACCCCCAGGGCAATCCCCTTCCTCTCACAGAGGCTCTCCTCCTGGGCGGCAGCAGCTGGGCTGGAGCTGGGGAGGAGACAGGGTGTTAGGGGGCATAGAGGGGGCGGGTAGGTGGGAGTCTAGGGGGTGTGCGAGTAAGAGTTACCTGTCCTGCAGGCCTCTGTCCTTGGGCTCCGCGTCTGCAGCCCCTGCAGGACATTGGGAATCAGCCTCCCTCTGGGCTGGGAGGTTACGACCACCCCCCATGTGATTCCAGGGAAAGGAGCCCTTCACACATATTGTCTGTGTGTCTCTCCATCTCCCGAGATTGAAAAGAGGAAAAACCTTCAATTGGCACGTGGGTCCTACCTGGGTGTTTTCTTTCTAGACTCTCTGACTTGAGATTCTGCAAGTGTCTTTCCACACCAGCCTTTCCCACCTCTCTGGCTTCCCTCTCTGGCCGCTGCCCTGAGCCCGCCCTCGGTCGGCCCACAGGACAGCCACCACCCCCTGGGGCCCGTCACCCCC